ATCAGAAATATCAGTTTACATTGATTACAAATACAAAAATTCATGTTTAAACAATAGTTATACCAAAAAAAAAAGGATTGGCCAGAACATTGTAATTCACACATTTGAGCACCCCAAACGTGAATGTGATTTCAAAAGATGAAGAATAAAAGGCATGAATTAATGATATACCATAAACTATATCATATCTTAGTAAAAAAACCGCTATAGGATCAACAAAAAAGATATTGAACTATTGAAGGAATTCTTCAATAAAATAAAATGTAATTACCGAATGTACTTATCAAAAGAAATGCACAGAGGCTAAAACACTGTCCAACCTGAGCAGCATCAGAAATCAAAAGCAGCACGAGATCACTGCCAGAGATGGTCTCATATATGTCACCAAGGGTCCCATTCTCTTCAGAAAACCCAGCTGCACGGGCCTCTGCAAAGGAGCTTGAACCCTTTCTTAAACCAATCTGCATGAAACAGACATTGCACTTGTAAGCTTAACATAACATGCCAAAACTATAACAACGAATTCACACATTCACAACAATATCAACACCATCATCCACTTTTATACGTCTCTGGGGTATGGCGAGGAGAAAGCAGAAGAAGATGGAAGTATTACCTTAACGACTATATCTGATTTTGCTTCAGCGAGAGAATCCCTCAAGTTCTGGGCTTGAGCAGGTCCCTACAAAAGAGATGCTATTTATTAAGCAAATTTAAGTATCGAAAAAATAGAAATATTATAGAATCTATCACTCTGTCGCTTTAATGGGAAGCGAGGGGATATCGTTTCACAGGTGAAACCATGCGCTTCAGATAAGTGTGCAGTTCAAACAGTCAAAGTGATCCAAAAGAAATGCTTGACGGTTCTTTCACTCAACTTTTTGAGGAGTTTGATTAATATTAGCATTATCGTATGTTGGAAGTTGAAATTAGCTATTTATTTCCATTCAATATTTATATCACTAAATTCATGTACATTTAATAAATTCACTTTAAAGAAGCGTCTGCTTCATATCTCGTTTTTCTCCTTTAAAAACACTTGAAGAAGGGAGAATACAACATGAAAGAAAGCATGGAAAATAGTTATATATCACAGATAAGGAAAAAATGTGTCCTATTTCACCAAAATAAGACGAAGATAACTCATGTAAACCAGAAAATATTTAAACTAGATATACTAGCTTGCCATTTTCATGATTAATGACTACAATCCTATAACTGCCAGAAAAAATTTCAGCTCAGGATAAAGTGTTACAGCCAATTCAGAAAGTGCACCAGAAAAGAACAGTTGCAAAGCTGGGTGACTGATTACATTACCATATAATAGCTCACAAGGAAATTACAAAAAGCGAGGAATATTCGCCAGATTTCAGTATTGTAGAAAAAGAAATCTTCAAAAAGTTCTATTAACCAACATCTTCACTACCAGATGATGTCAAAAATATCATCTTTTTTCTTTTACTTTAGAATGGCAACACTAAAAATACTATTGTAAGGGAACTTTTCACTTAGCAAAGATGGCAAACACCAATTAATTCCTTTGACTCAGAAAACATCTTGTTACTATCAATTTCTAACTTGAGAACATCAATCAATCAATATAAATTAGTGCAGTAATTTCTGAGAAAAAAGGGAATTCAACAAAAACTAAGTCCATGAAATATCTCACCTGAGAACCCCAGCCGATGACTCCAATCTGCTTGACTCCTTTGAAAGCATCCGGCAAATACTTGAACAAATCTCTCCCTCCTCTCACAATGTACTACACCACAATATTACATAATTACACATCAATGCTCAGAAACTTCAAAAACAGACAGATAAAGAGGACGATACTAACTTTAGACAATCAGAGTCAATGTAACTAACTTTCAAGATAGATAATACTAGATGAATTCATTTTTAAAGTTATTTTTTGTTAAAAGTTAAAAAGAAAAGTACCTCATCATGGCCAGCAAGGGTGATTTTCTCCTTCTTAAAGACGGAGGTTTCAAAATCGAGAGAAACAGGGGCTTTGACGGCAGCAGGTGCAGAGACCATGCGAGCGTCGAGAGCCGCGCCGGAGCTGGAGCTGCTGCCGCATGAAACGGCGGATTTGGCTCTGAGAGGCTTAAGCAACGGAGTTGAGGTGGAAAGGAACCCTAAGTTACCGGCAAGGGCGGGTTTTAGGGATTTGGATGATGATGATGATGTGGAAGTGGAGATGGAGAATGAAGTAGCCGCCGCCGCTGCCGCCATGGTGTAAGTGGGAAGCAGCCAAAGCCTGTGAAAGTTGTAGAGAGGGATAAGAGAAGCAGAGAGAGCGAGAGCGCAGGAAATGTGGGTCCGCTTTATATGTTGCAGTGGTAGTTAGCTAGGTTAAAAGGGTTTGGTAATGCTGTTCTACACTTCTACTTGAAATATGTTTCTCCATTATATTGCGATTTGCAAAATAGGATGACAAAATTATTGTGTGGCCAATCAGCTTATTTTGAGAAGTATGGTTTCTCGAAATATTTTTCTCAAAAGTATTTTTGCTAAAAATCAATTTGTGTTTGGTTAATTAATTTGAAAAACACTTCTGAGCAGCAATTAGCGTTTCGCCAAGCTTTTAAAAACTGTTTCTAAGCTTTTGCTTTTAGAGAGAATCTACTTTTTTCTGCTTCTCCAAAACTACTTCTGCTTCTGATCAAATCACTTTTATTTCTTCTAAAAGTTTGGTCAAACACTTCAGATTTGAAAAAAAAGATATGTGTTTTTGAATTTGGAGGATCTTGGCCAAACACGGTATTGTATTATTGTGATTTTTGAATATCTTTTATATCTTTAATATTAAAATTTGTGATTTACAATAGTTTTATATAGTTTTGAAAAATGTAAATCTGAGTTTTAAAGAAATAAGAAATTATAACAACTTAGACTTAGAGGTGGATCCAAAAATTAAATTTTGTGGCTTCAACATTTAAGATGCTTATGTTATGCCCCGAATCTGGGGACGTGATAAAAGTGGTATCAGAGTAGTTCCGTCCTAGGGAGTCTACAAACCGTGTCTAGTAGAGTCTTGTTTATGGATGTGTCGTGCACCACACTTATAAGTAGGAGGCTACAGGTCATTTAGGACTGTCACTCTTTCTTCTTACTCTAGATCGTGTGGTAGAGCTCAGTTGTAAGAAATCGAACTCCTAAATTCTATTTTATTCGTAACACGGCGACACCTACATCCAGAAAGACAATTGGTAAGAGGTTGCACGTGGCTGTGGAAGAGTTGAGTCAGAGGAACTCGATTTTTCATGATTCTTATGATGAGCAAATGTAAGGTCTTTAGCAGAACATATGTGTACTATAACATGTAAAACTTCTTGATAAGGAGTCTTAAGGCAAGAATATCTATCCACCCTTTTGGTAAAAAGCAACGAGAGAATCAGAAGGTAGATACAAGTTTTAACAAGTAAAAAAAGGCAAGGTGAAGAAGGGTACGAGGCGCCCAGTTAATGAAGTTACTTACGACTCAGGAAGGGAGATATACACATTTTGAGTTACCTTCAACAGTAACAGAGGTATATATAATTGACCATACCCATCTCAATTATGCCCTATGGGGGATAACAAGTGTAGTTTAAGAAAAGGACGAGATATCAGAATCCAGCTGGGGTTAGAGTACCCCAAAATGGTGGATGGATTGTTTGTGTTAGTTGATATTTCTGAAAGATATTGCAAATGTGCTAATAGATCTCCTTGTGAGATACCTAGATGGTGCACTCTAAAATAGTACTGCTAGATATGAGTACTACAAAGACATGCACTGAAATCCTGGGAAGGATAAATATTACCTTAATATGGCTCCCGTCCCTAATAGAGCGAGAATGTTGAGCAACCCGAAGAGCCACTGAACGGAGCAAAAGGGAGCTAAAAACAAAAGAATGTCTTGTTGGAGTTTTCAGAATAAGATGATCGGCATAAATATTAGCAGAGAAATAAAAAGAGAGATAATGAAGCATTATGAGTAAGATGTGATACATGGATGACAACGGTAGATCCAAAAATAAGGAAAAAGAGTATAGACCATAAAGTCATATCCTTATTTCGAGAAATAAGTTCGTGACTCTAACGCGACTACCAGAAGGAAAAATTAGATCCCAGAGTAATAGAAATCGGTATGGACTAATGAACGAGATAAACTAAACATGAATTAGGAGTTGAGTGATTTGATAATAGTCGGTATCGTGAGATTTTTAGATTTCGTTTCGGCAATAGTAAAATGGACAACGAAAGAAGATTCGTGAAAAATTCAGAGAATGTCCATTAAGGAAGACGCTTCCCTAAAGCAAGAAATGTGAGCAAAGTTAAGCTTAAGGGACCATATCTTCCAATTATACTAAGTATCACCCTCGCGAATAAGGAATTTTGTTACCCTTGGTACAGAAGGATTAATACAAAGTGAGTAAGGATCATCAATGATGTGAAAAGACGCCAAAGATGAAGAGGTAAAACATTTATATGTAGATTATCGTAGCACTAAATCTTAGTACTCCCCTAAAGGAGGGAATACAGAGTGATGTGATATTAAGTCATAATTAAGTGGTTCTAGTAACTATAGAATGGGAAAGAAAGAATGTGATAAAAATGAGAATGAGATGAAATTGCACTTATTCAAATCCCATAGATATGCTACGATTCCATAATATTATACAAACACGACGTCAAGGAAAGGAAGCAAGGGTTCCTGCCTGAGATGTTATTGATAAATAAGGAGCTAGTGCGAGAGGTAAGTTAAGACAAAAGAAATAACCCAAGAATTACTACGTGGAATACTGATATGAGAATGGACCAATGAGTAGTTAGTAGTTGATTCAGGAAAATCCTAGTTATGGCTAGACAAGAGGATACATACAAATCAACAGATTGTGCAAGATAAACATAGTGAACCCCAACATGAGGCATTCAGTCTCGCAGATATGACATCGTAACCTTGAGAAATATTAAGATAGAAGTTGGGGTAGTAAAGGTACCGTAGGAGGGTTACAGATATAAAAGAGAGTTCCACTTGGAAGACAATTAAAATATCAACTCAAAAGAAATCCTTAGCACAAGGGCATGAAGATAAGTAAGTAAGGATAATTACAAGTAAGAAAGATCATCAAAAATTCCGCTGGATAAATGATGTAATAAGCTCCCAGCCTTGCAAGAATCAGAGGGTCCTCCCTAAGTACTACAACAAACGACTAGCAAGGAAAATAAGGAAAAAGGCTTCAACCTAAACTCAGTGACCTAAAGAGGAAATGATCTTATAACAACAGTCTTAAAACAACATTGTATGCACTTCATAAGAAAGTGGCACCTACCGTGGCTAATGAACGGGAAGTAAAATCAAAAATAATACTTGAGATAATATGAGTTGCATGAAAATTCTGACATGCGTGGGAACTAAGATAAGCTAAGTAGACACGCAACAAGCGACGGAACGACCAGAAGAAGTAATAGCTTACATTTAAAGGAAGCTGAGAAGGAACAAAAGGTATTCGATCAATAATCCAAAGTTAGCTCCACTTAAGAGTTCGAATTATTGTCCATGCAGCATATATGTTGACAATATACAGCCGTAGAAGACCCTGGTATAAGTTAAAAGAAAGAATTCAGTATAGGACATAAACAAAGGACTAAATTATTACAAGATTGTATCTGGGAAATGCACATAGCTTTAAAAATAAGTAATTAGACAATTCGACTAAGCCAAGTATGATCAAAGCGACCGTGCTAGAACCACAGAACTCGGGAGTGCCTAACACCTTCTCCCGGGTTAATAGAATCCCTTACCCGGATTTCTATGTTCGCAGATTGTAAATAGAGTCAAACTTCCTCAATTCGGAATTTTAAACCGGTGACTTGGGACACCATAAATTATCCCAAGTAGCGACTCTGAATTTTAAATA